TCCTCGGTCCCCGCCGCGGAATGAATGGTCTGGAGTCAGGACGGCTCTCGGGCAGACCGTCTACCGGAGAACTGCCGGTCCGTCCAGGGAGGTGTTTCTGTTTCTCCCTAGAATAGTAGTTTAGTGACAGCTTAACCTTCCTGACATCTTCCTGTGTAATTTAGGGGAAGGTGTCACCACCGTGTCTTCAGGCGAAGAAACCAGAGTACAAACAGGTGAACTTCGGAAGTTCAGGTTAACACCACACACCCGTCGTCTGGTTTCTTTTCCTTTCGTGGTTTATTTTATTGTTGAATAAGATATGTGTGCTCATTGTCAAAAACCACAGTGCAGACATTCAGAGTAAGAATGAATTTCCCTCTTCGCCTCCCGCCAGTCTTCCCAGGGACCCCCAGAGGACGGACAGTGACCATTCTGGAGTGTGCCCGCGGCCCGTCCGGAGTCCTGAGTGTCAAAGATGACACTTGGTTTTCAATGAGGTCAAGGTGTTCTCGTTTTTGAATACTTTGAGACTTAAAAGTTGGGTTGATAAATTCTTTGAAATCATAGAAATAGTATTACTAACAACTATTTTCTGTGAAAAGGAAAACACAAAATGCTGGAACAACTTAAATCAACTGCATTTTTGTAGTACAAGTTTAATTTTTTCATCTGTTTTGAGCAACTCATTTTATAAATAACAGATATCAGATGTTTACTCTGACATGACAACTAAATGCAATAGGCGGTTCCGGTCTGGATTTGGTACTAGACAGGAAAAATGCCAAAAAGGACAGTATTAGGTCAATTGACAAAATTGGACTATGGACGATAGATTAAATTATCATATTAATGTTTAAGTTTCCTGAAGTTGGTAACTGCTGATTTTATAAGAGAATGTCTATATGCTCAGGAAATACAGGTATTTAGGGGTAAAGGAGCATAATGTATGTAACTTAAATACTTCAGAAAAAAATTAAGTCTGTATTTAGGGAGAGAGATAAGGCAAATAGGACAACACATTAACAATTAGAGAATCTAGCTAGGTAAAGGTATACTATTCTTGCAACTTTTCTGTAAACTTGAAGTTATTTTTAAATAACAGTTTAAAGTTGTTATTTACTCAAGAGCTTATTGTCTTAGGTTGATGTTGGAAATAGTCCTTTGCTTCATTGCATTATTTGCTTAGCAGAATTGCCCTCCTATTGATGTCTGCAGACAGACATCCCTCTTGCAATCCAGGACCGCTGGCTCCTAACTGCTCGCCTGCCTGATCGCCCCTAACTGCCTCTGCCCGCCTGCTGGCCTGATCAAGCCTACCTTGCCCCCCTGCCGGCCTGATTGCCCCTAAACACCTCTGCCTCAGTCCCTAGCCTAAGCCACAATCTGGCCTCCCTCAGCCAGAGGCGACCTGGCCGATCAGGGAAGGCACTGCCCCCATCACCTTGCTGCTGCTGCCACTGGTGGCCACCATGGCTGCCTGAGCCTCTGGCCAGCCCTGGGCAGCAGCAGCCACCATCCACGGCTTGCCTGAGCTTCAGGCAGCTGCTGCAGCTTTGTCCGGATGGTCGTCCATAAGATGTCCACCCTAATTAGCATATTACCCTTTTATAGATATTTTTTATTGATTTCAGAGAAGAAGGGAGAGGGAGAGAGAGAAACATTGATGAGACAGAGAATCATTGTTCAGCTGCCTTCTGCATGTCCCCTGCTAGGAATCAAGCCCACAGCCTGGGCATGTGCCCTTGACTCGAATAGAACCTGGGACTCTTTAGTCCACAGCCTGATGCTCTATCCATTGAGCCAAACCAGCTAGGGCTTTGTTTGTTTTTTAAACTGAAGAATTGTGAGCTGTTGCAGTGGTCAAAGCCTAAGAAACAGTTTGAACCCAAAACCCAAATTTCAGTAATTCCAGATTTACAGAACCAGAGATTTTTCTAATCCTTCACAGAAAAAACCAGTGACATGTTTGATGAGACAGTTAAAGGCAAATAATGATTTTTAATTTGGGGAGGTGGATTGGCTCCCCCTCAGTTGCCCAGAGAGTCAGTGTCTCAAGGGTCACTGCCCTTGTTCAAGAGCCCTTCCCCCCACCCCCATCTTTCCTTTTAGTAAATGAAGCTGTTCATTATTTCCCTCTGCAATATAAACTAGGAATGTCTACTTAGCTAGTGTGTCATCTTTAGCCTAACAAGACTTCATTAATTGAGACTTTAAAAATCAAACTATCCAACTTTTAAAATTGGAAGTAAATTTTCTCTTTTTTTTACCCCCCCCCCCCTTTTTTTTCAGTAGGGAACGCTGGGACTGGGTGGGACCACTGTCCTCTGATGGAGAGACAGGGACCCAGAGCCGATACAGTACGTTCATTTTATACAAAAATAAATTTTCTAATTTAATATGGTAACAAAAGATCTTCAATATTTACTTTTAACGTCATATTGCAATATCAAAAAATATGTACATTTCTGGATATATGAATGTATCTAAAAGACGTGTATCAATTCATGGAGATGCAAAGTAAAAGGTTTGGAAGGATGTACGAATCCAGTTGGTCACCTATGAGGAGGAAATTGGGAATGACTTTCTTTAAAACTTTTATAACAACCAGCTAGCTACTTAGGTGTGCTTTTGTAATATCTGGTGTGTTTTCTGTTTTGTTTTGTTTTTTATTAAAAAGGAAATAAAAAATGGAATAAAGAAAATTAGTATCAGAAAGATAATAGTAAGATATTATCAAGAAGTATTTAATGTTCCATATGACTAAATCTTGCCATGAAAGTGCCAAATTTTTATTTTCATTTTTTTAAAATATATTCTTATTGATTTCAAAGAGGGAGAGGGAGATAGAAACATCAACGATAAGAGAGAATCATTGATCGCCTGCCACCTGCACGCCCCACACTCGGGACCGAGCCTGCAACCTGAGCATGTACCCTGACGGGGAATCGAACTGTGACCTGGTTCATAGGTCGATGCTTAAACACTGAGCCATGCCAGCCTGGCTGAAAGTGCCAATATTTTTACGTTTTGTTAATACATTAAACAAAAATTATTTAGAAATAATTTCATATTGCTCCCATCTTAAAACTAATATATTAAATATAATTTCCTTAGTGACTTCAGGTCATTTTGAGCATAATCTGGTGAACTGGGCTTAAATACAATCATTTCTTCAATGACTCCTTCGTTGTGCCAGCGTTTTGCATATGTTGTTCTCTATACTTTGAAATACCCTTCCCTTTTTCTTGCTTCAGGATTCCTCCTTTGCCCTCATATGCACATTTGTACATCTCAAACTCTGAAGATGATCTTTCCTTGTTAACAATTACATAGTTGCTGCCACATCTAGCCCGTTAAATTCTGTTATTTCTTGGGTCACATAAATACTTGTTTTTCTGCCTATCTAAGATCTTAACTCCTGGAAGACAGGGTCTCTTTATGTATTTAGTGTCTTGGATAGTACCTAGAAATGTGTTTAGATGTAAGTAACCAAAGTAAGAGCTTTCTAAGTAAAAAGAGACATAACCTTACGTCTAAGAAACCACTGGTTGCCTGGCCGGGTAGCTCAGTTGGTTCTGGTGTCCTGAGCACCAAAAAGGTTCCAAGGTCAGGCACTTACGGGAGGCAACAGATTGATGTTTCTCTCTCTCTCTCTCTCTCTCTCTCTCTCCTCTTTCTCTCTCTCATCAATAAAAACATATCCTTTGGTGAGGATTTTTTTTTTTCTTTAAAGAAACCATGGAACCAGACTCTTTGTCTTTGCTCTCTGCCTGCCTAAGTGTGGCTTTCATATTCAGGCTTGTAAAATGTGTAACATTTTTTTAGATAAGTTTTAGACAGAAGCCCTCCCTGGAAGGCAGGAAAAAAAAGGTAAAAGGATTCCTAGCTATATCTTGCCCTTTTATCAGGAAGAGGGTAGATTGGAGCTGAAGCCATCCTGTCAGGTTTCTGTTGGGTCTCGTTGGCCACATATGGCACCTAGCATATAGTAAAGTATGCAAGCAATATTTGAAGAATGGCTAAATAGCCCCATGAGGAATGTACAAGGCTCTTGGCTGACATCAATATTTCCCAGACTGCTGTGGTTTTTAATGTAACTGTTTTTCCTGGTCTTTGTTTTTTCTTCTTTTAAACAGAACATGATTATATTAAATATATGTTTGATACAACCAAAACGTGAAACACCAGAATAAAATAATAACAAAAAAACATGGTATTTCATTTGCAATGTATGAGAAATGCTTAACATCTTTAGTCATAAACAAACTCTTAAAAACCTGTAACAGAGACACTATAATGCAAGGAAACGTTTTTCTTTTTAAATATTTTTTTTCATTGATTTCAGAGAGAAGAAAGGAGAGGGAGAGATAGAAAAATCAGTGGTGAGAGAGAAACATCTATCGCCTGCCTCCTGCACGGTAGGGGATTGAGCCAACAACCCAGGCATGTGCCCTGACGGAAATGAAAACGTGACCTCCTAGTTCAGGGGTCGATGCTCCACCACTGAGCCACACCGGCTGGGCTCTTTGGGTTTTTTTCTCTATCTTGTGGACGGTTGTTTTTATGTCCGTGTTTCTATCATGTTACCTTATTTTTATACCTAGTTAAGAGCTTTAGGAGGTTTTGACCTTTCTTCTACTTGATTTCGTTCTTTTATTTTGAATTTATGGCTGAGTTGCTGGTAGTTTAAATTGCCAGAAGCTTGAATGCCTCTTATGTACTGTATTACTGCACTATATATATTACTGTACTAAATATTACTGTATCACATAAGTATAATTATACAGTTATCACTTTTTCATTTGGTAAATGTTTACTGAACATATGCAAGTCCCTGTGTTAGGAGCTGAATAAACAAAGGATTTCTAGTTCAACTATTATTTTTATTGGCTAATTATGAATTGCTACCACGACAAGAGTATTTAAATAGCATTAGTATAGCCCTGACTGGTTTGGCTCAATGAATAGAGTGCCGGCCTGTGGACTGAAGGGTCCCAGGTTTGATTCCGGTCAAGGGCAATGTGCCAGGGTTGAGGGCACATCCTCAGTGGGGGCTGTGAAGGAGGCAGGTGATGGATGTTTCTCTCTCATCGATGTTTCTAATTCTCTATCCCTCTCCCTTCCTCTGTAAAAAATCAATAAAATATATTTTAAAATAAATAAATAAAATGTCATTAGTATAGTTAATTTACTTACATCTCTGATTTTTTTCTCTAGCTTAAATGGGCTAATATTACTAAATTAATCTTAGATTTTAATATGCATTTTATTTCATATTTAAGATGATTTTATTGTTCATGTGGACCAGTGTGATTGTGTAATTGGAAACAGTTTAGAGGATGGGAACTTTCAAAATCTTTTGGATGAACTTTGATTTTCTGTGTGACATATCAAAAAGAGCATAAAAGAGACATGGGCTTGACCCTAGCTAACTCTGTGGACTTTAGCTTCCCTTCTTTGGGTTTTTGTTTGTTTCATTTTTGGTTTATGTATGTTTATGCTTTTTATAATGATCCCTACTACTTATAGAATAAGAAAAAAACAAAGATTACAGAATCCTTGTGATTTCAGTGATACTGAAACTTGTTTCTGCTTTTATTTTTCAGATTCACGAAATACATTGTGTTACTATGTTTCACTAAATTCTTGAAGGCAGTGGGACTTTTTGAATCATATGATCTCCTAAAAGCAGTTCACATTGTTCAGTTCATTTTTATATTAAAGCTTGGGTGAGTGTGTATGGTTCTTTTTTTCCTTAATGTTTTTTATTTCTTTGAAAATCCTGTTTTAACTGAGTATATTTAGGAAATTTTACGTGTAATATTTTGAAATAGAATATCTAAGGTTAGCAGTACAAGGAGATTGATTAAAACAATAAATAAATAAAAAGCCCTGGCCAGTGTGGCTTCATTGGTTAAAGCGTTGTCCTGTATACCAAAAGGTTTCCGGTTCAATTTCCAGTCTGGGCACATACCTGGTTTTCAGGTTCGATCCCCAGTTGGAGCACATTGATATTTCTCTCTCTCTCTCTCTTTTGCCCCTCCCCTCTTTCTAAAATCAATAAGTATATCCCTAGGTGAAAATTTTTTTTACAAAAGGGATTGTTATACTCTAATAGCTTGCCAAAAACATAGACTTTTATCTTCATTTGTGTTAAGGAGGGTTTGGCAAATTTCTGCTTAATTGAAGACAGCTAGATTCTCATTCTGTTTCAGCAACAATCTGTTGCAGTATCTTAATGTCAGCTAGCCTCTGAAAGCTCCCTGTACATCCCTGAAGGAATAAGAGGCAAGAAAATAATGTATTAGTTTGTATAGAGATAGATGCCCTAAAAGGGTCTCAGGGGCCCTAGGGATTCCCAGGCCATACCACCAGTATAGTCCAATCTTCAGCAGGCATAGAATGTTACCTGAGACTTGTCTTGGCACAGATGTTCCTTATTTTCTAAGATAAACTATGCTGGGCTGTGTTTACTACATGTTTCCTTCACAGTACAGGGTCCTTATCCTATATAATAAAAAGCTAGTATGCAAATTGACCAAATGGCGGTATGACCAGTCGCTATGATGCGCACTGACCACCAGGGGCAGACACTTAATGCCAGAGAGCTACCCGCTGGTGGTCAGAAGCCCTGAGCTGGGCTCATGGCTGGCGAGCGCAGCGGCAGTGGCAGGAGACTCTCCCACCTCCGCGGCAGCACTAAGGAGGTCCTAGAGTGGGCCTAAGCCATCAATCGGACATCCCCCGAGGGCTCCATACTGCGAGAGGGTGCAGGCCGGGCTGAGGGACTGCCCCCAAGTGCACAAATTTTGTGCACCGGGCCTCTAGCATAGTATAAATTTAACATTATTCTGCATATAATAAGAAATTCTCTCTAAATAAAGGTTCTCTGGATCTTGAGATTAATAGTGACCACCCTCTGTGTTACTAAAAATATGTTAAAATACATAAAAATATGTATAATTTTAGTAATAATTATGGAAAGTGATACTTGACTAGGAAATTTTAATCAATATTGTATGCATTTTTATATAACTACTAGAGGCCCGGTGCATGAAATTCGTGCACTTGGGGTGGGGGGGGGGTGTCCCTCAGCATGGCCTGCACCCTGTCAGAGTCCAGGAACCCTCGGGGGATGTCCAACTGCTGGCTTAGATCCGCTGGCCTGTTCCCTGGGGAGCGGGCCTAAGCTGGCAGTCAGACATTCTTAGCACTGCCGTGGAGGCGGGAGAGGCCATGAGCCCAGCTTCTGGCTGGGCAGCGCTCCCCCTCTAGGAGTGCACTGAGCACCAGGGGGCAGCTCCTGCATTGAGCATCTGCCCTCTGGTGGTCAGTGCGCATCAGCGACCGGTAGTTCTGCTGTTCAGTCGATTTGCATATTAGCCTTTTATTATATAGGATTTTGGGAAAGTGAAAGGTAAGGATATATAATTAGTACTTTATTCATTTCTATTAAGATTTGTTATTACTAAATTTTGGATAAGATTGGGATTATTTTCTTTGGTATTTCAAGTATGAAATAATATCCTTTTCTTTTGTGGCTTTTGAACTGGTTCAGAAGGCAACTGCAAAAAAAAAGAGTCCCAAAATGTTGCAGTGGCTGCCTTATTGAAATTAGCATTGTCTGGCCAGTGTGGCTCACTGGTTGAGCATGAACCAGGAGTCAATTCTGGGTCAGGGCACATGCCTGGGTTTCAGACTTAATCACCAGTAGTGGGCCTGTAGGAAGCAGCTACTGGTGATTCTCTCTAATCATTGATGTTTTTCTCTCTCCCTCTCTCTGAAATTAAACACACACACACACACACACACAGTATTGTTCTTTAGTATAATTTCTTTAGAGGTTAACGTACCTCTAAAGAACTTTCAAGTTCTAGTGTATGTATTTATCTAAAATAACTGTCTTTACTTAAAACCAAACCTTGTATTTAAAATTGATTAATATATTAATGTTTTAATATTCACAGGACTGCACTTCTTATGGTTTTGTTTCAAAAGCCATTTTCTTCTGGTAAAAGTATTACCAGACACCAGGTGAGTTTTTTGCTGAATCCTTTCCCTAGCTGCTTCCCAGTCAGTAGGCCAGATGACAGTGCTCTTTCCTTGATCAGGGTTACTTAACGAATAATTTAGTACAAAGCAGAACATTCCCAAAGTTAGCTCGTCTATTCAGAATTGGAGCGTCAAGAATGAACTATGAAGTTGTAAGATAATGGAATTTTTAAAAATGCAGAAAAGGGTAGAACTTTTTTAAAACACGCAGATAATTATTTTTTACTGCAGGATCTTTATTCTGAAAGGTTTACAAGTCAAACATGGAGACATGACCCAGAGCCTATTACAAATGTCATTTGACTTAAGTGGAAATAATAATACCTCCCTTCCATAGGAATAAATGAGTTTATACATATAAATTCTTAAAATAGTGCCTAACATATAGAGTATGCAATACATACTATGTCACCCTCATCATCATCATCATTCCCTTTAGGCATCTGAGATTCAAGATGCATACCAGAAATGTCCTTCATTCTGCATAATCTCATATTACCACCTGTTTGGATAGTAGTTATCCCCTATTACATGTTTGCTTTTATAAATCTGTGCCATGATTTTTTATTAGAATGGCAAATTTAAGTACCTCTGTTTTAGAGACCAAGGTTGTTTTTAAAAATAGGATTAATATTTTAAACCACATCTTAACTTTTCTTCTCTCTCTTCAAATTATTGAAGCACCTACTATTCCTGATGGAAAAGAATTTAAAGACTAAAATATTAAATGTTCCTAGTACATTAGTGATAAACTAATTGGGAGGAGACGGAAAATTGTACTGTAGAGAAAAAGATTTCAAGATCCGATAGGCTCCTGGAAATCAGAATATTGTCTTCAAATTCAAATTTAGTTAAAGGATCTTAACATTTTCTATTTAATTTCAAAATATGTAATTAGCCTTTAAAATATTTGTATTACCATTATTATATTTCCCTATGTGTATTAAGATTTTCAGATATTTATGACTGAAATTTTTAATGTTTTGTTTCCATTTATAGTGGATCAAAATATTTAAACATGCAGTTGCTGGGTGTATCATTTCACTCTTGTGGTTTTTTGGCCTCACTCTTTGTGGACCACTAAGGTAAATAAAAATATATATTTTGAATGCTTGTTATATCTCTTCACTTTGAATATTAGTTTTGTTCCATTAGATTTTATGTCAAATATTTGTCAAAATACATACAAATGCTTCTATGACTTCTATAGCATTGGGTACAACTCAACAAATATATAGGGCTTGCTTTTCTTTATAGTTTTACCAAATATGTACATATTTCTTCTTCTTTTTAATGGTTAACTTTGCAAGTTTTTTACTTGCATGTATTTTTCTGCAGCATACTTTTTCCATTGGGCTGCTATAACCAAATACCACAGATTGAGTGTCTTATAAACAACACATTTATTTCTCATAGTTCTGGAAGCTGACAAATTCACGATCAAGGTGAGATATATTCAGTATTTGGTAGAAGGAGCAAAGAAGCTCTCTGTGGTCTCTTTTATAAGGGCACTAATCCCATCCATGAGGACTCTACCTTTAAGATACATTAGGGATTGGGTTCAACATATGAATAGGTTGGGGGAGGGCACACAAACATTCAGTCTATAGGACTTCTAAAGTGTACAATTCTGTATTAGTATATTCATGGAATTTCATTCATTCTTACTGCTGTATAATATAGTCCACTAAATGGATATATTCTAATTTACATCATCTATCTTATCAGTGGGCATTTAGGTTATTTCCAATATTAGGCTACTACTGCAAACAATGCTGGTGTCTTTATAAATGTTCCCAAGTACACAAATACAAGAAATCTGTATGATAAAATTCTATGAGTAGTACTGTTGAGTATTTATAGCTTCTGCCTTTCTAAAGTAGATAATGCCAAAATATTTTCCAGAGCCACTGTTCCTATTTTTCTCATAATGTTTTATGAATCAAGGGGAAATATTTCTTTTCTTTCACTCTAGTTGAATTAATGCTTTTTTATAAAGATCAGATATATTTCACAAATGATATGTTTTATTCTTGTAGGACTTTGCTGCTATTTGAACACAGTGATATTGTTGTCATCTCCCTACTCAGTGTTTTGTTCACTGGTTCTGGAGGAGGACCAGCAAAGGTAGAATTTTCCATTATTAGCTACTTGAAAATTAAAAGTATACATTTGAAATGTTATCCAAAGCAACAAAATAGTATATTTTAACATTTGAAAGAATGCAGGGGCTTTTTCTATTAATTTAACATTTTTTTAATAACGTTTTTGGCATCATTATATATTCCTAGGAAGTTGCATAAATAGAGCAGTCTTTGTGCCCTTCACTCAGTTTCAGTAGTAACTTCTTACCCAACTCAATTATACTGTCAAAACCAGGAAATTGAGATTGGTACAATCCTTAGACCTTATTCAGTTTTCACCAATTTTAAATACACTCATATGTGTGTTTATATGTGTAAATTCAGGTAACTACTGCCACAATCAAGATACAGAACTGATTGATCACCACAGACATCTCCTTTATGCTGTACCTGAACCCTTCCCCACCTCGTTTTTAATCCCCAGACATAATTTTTGGAAAATACCTAAGAACTTTTTTAAAGTTTGATGAACATTTTTTTATGAATATTTATACAATATTTTGCCAACTAAGCATCCCTATTCAACTTATAATTTTAAGTATTATTTGTTTTTAGTAAATGAGTCATCCATCTGTAATTCCAGTTCTTACAACTGCAATATTGCTATTTATCATATTGAATGTTTCCTATGCATGGTACACTATTCTGGTTATAGGGGAAAGGAAAAATAAAATATAATAGTTCCCTTAGACTTTCAGGCTAAGTACTGGAGACAAGATGAATAAAATAATGTGCCAAGTACAGAGTGAGAGACTGTAGATTCCACATTGGATCATTAATATTAAAGCATATGCCACTGTATAAGCTTCTCCCCTAACTTACAGAGTACTCCAAAATAAATGTCAAGTGATTGAAGATTTTGGTGGGAGATATTTGTAAAAGCATAAAAGCAGTAGGGAAAATATCACAAAGTCACTTTGTAAGGTATATAACTGTCTAATCACTTTGTTGTACACCTGAAACTAATATAATACTTTATGTCAACTGTAATTGAAAAGTAAATAATTTTAAAAATCACAAAGGGAAAATTCAATATATTTAAATTTAACTTCATAATAATTACAGGCTTTTATATAACAGAAATCATTGTGCAAACAAACTAACAGCAGCAAATTGCCACCAAAAAAAGCTTTACACGTCTTTAAAATATGTCAGTTAATAAAAATACTTAAGATCCTCAACAGAAAGGAGCAAACAGGGGAAAACAACTCACAAAAGAAATACAAAGGATTCAAAACATTAAAAAAACAAAACACGAATTTTGCTGCACCAATAATCAGAAATGAGAGTATAGATCTTGCATATCCTCTCATTAGTGTCAGTAATGAATCTCAGCATTCATCCAGGACTCAGTGGGTTTTTTCCTTAGTTATGACTAAAGCACTACAAAATTCTCAGTTGCCCTCTTTGTTAATAAAAGATTACATTAAATTCTCCATATTTGAGTATTGTTAATGCTGCCATATTCTGATTCAATAAAAATTACAAAATTTTAAATTGTGTGGTTTATGTATACTGACTTTTGTCAAAATATCTACCACAGTAATAATTTATCAAGTGTAGTAACATGTAATAAGTAAAATAGGATCCTCACTTCATTTAAAATTTTTATTTAATTAAAGTATCTGGTATTATACTTGTAAATTTGTAAATATAGAATGTATAATAATGCTATTTAAATTGCTTTTGTATAAACTGAAGTATTTGTAAAAACTAAGTTAGTATATCTTTCTATAATTTTCTTCTGTCAAAATCCTTTCCCTGGAATGAAAACATAAAATGTCAGCTTTTAAGTGCCTTACACCTTTACTAGATATTAAAAATACGTTGCTAGTTTTCTTAATATAGCTTTTTAATTCTTTCCCCTAGAGGAGTGGTACCTAGAATATTGATATTATTATAAATTAACTGTTAAGTCCTTAGTAATTATTCTTTACCTACTTGGGCTTTTCAATCAAAAGCAAAGTAACATTTGCAAAGATTAATTCTGTGAACAATAATTGTTTGTGTATGGTAACATGGCTAGCCATATTAGTAAGTAGACAATTGAAGTTGTCATTATTATGTATCTTAAGTACCCTTAAAATATCCTGCAGAATTTATTAGAGCTCTTTACTTTTACCTTACTGTTAATACTGTAAATTTATATTGTACAGTATAAGGGCTCTAATGTCAGGTGTTATTTTACCTTAAATGTTTAATTGCAAAAAAAAATTTTTCATATTTGTGTGATCATGGTCTTAAAAATCAATTCTTGAAAAAAACATTCTTAAGATTATTCTCTTCATTTCCAGACAAGGGGGGCTGCTTTTTTTATTATTGCTGTGATCTGCCTATTGCTTTTCGACAATGATGATCTCATGGCTAAAATGGCTGAACACCGTATCCTTTTGCAACAGATCAGAGTTATTTATTGTTGTAGAAAAATAAAAGACTGGCAGAATGGGAAATGGAGTGACTGAATTAAACTGTCAGAAATATAGGGACAGTAAAAGTATTTTACATTGACCTCATGCTAAATAAATGATTTGACACTCAACAAAATCAATCTATTTGCTCCCTTGTAATTTAATAATTTAAATGGTTGTTTTAGAAGTCACTGGCAATTATCTATATATATAAAAGCCTAAGCAACACACCACCAGGGGGCAGATGCTCAGTGCACAGGCATGGAAACATGGAATACACTGACGAATCTCAGAGGGATTTGTTGCACCAATGGAGTCCCTTGGCCTGGCCTGCAGGGATCAGGTCGAAACTGGCAGTCCAACATCCCCCAAGAGGTCCCTGATTGCAAGAGGGCGCCAGCCAGGCTTGAGGGACCCTACCAGTGCACGGGGCCTCTACTTAAATCTGTAAAAAATCAATAAAATAAATTTAAAAAATATATATATATAAATTTCTTTTAGATAAAAAACGTTTGGCATCTTCTTGCCAGTAAAAAAAAGTTTAAGTTTTTAAATTTGATATTCACTCTCTTGCTCTAAATTATTATCTGATTCAGCTCCCAATTTTCTCTTATGTGAACACAACTTTTGAGTCAAATATGTCTATTCACTTTCCTCTACAGAGATAATTTGTTTTCTTTCTTATCCATACATCTTTTTTTGCCCACTCTATTTATCAGAACTTAGGACACCATTTTTTAATTCTCCTGGTTACAGCTACTCAGTGCCCAAAAACTTAGTTGTATCAGTTTACTGTTACAGTAAAAGAGGGTGCCATGACTTTGAAAAACTCCTGTTGCTTGCAGTACAGCTATCTCACACACCCTTGATATTCACTCTCTTGCTCTCAAGCAACAGGAGTTTGTTTTTTGCTTGCTTTGATGAGGGCTATGTGGTCAATGACTTAGAAACAGATTTAGGACTGATTTTAAAAGTTATTCTAGCCCCACTGGTGTGACTCAGTGGTTGAGTGTCAACCCATGACCGTGAAGTCATGGTTCAATTCCTGGTCAGGGCACATGCCTGGGTTGCAGGCTCAATCCCCAGTAGTGGGTGTGCAGGAGATAGCCGATGAGTGATTCTCTCTTATCATTGATGTTTCTCTCTCTCTCTCCCTCCCCCTTCCTCTCTGAAATCAATAAAAATGTATATAATTAATAAAGTCATTCTAAAAGAGCAAGTCCATTGGATAGGAGTGGTCCAGGGAGGGTCCTTGCTCTTGACCCTTTGTTCTACTTACACTATATATGTATATGTCTCCTGGAGGTTAAGATCTAAAATTTAACAGCTATATCTTAGGCACTATTATAATTGTTTTGGAGACGACAAATGGAATACAGACCAGCCAACTTATTAGTAATATCCCAGAATTAATTTTTAAATTATTTTAAGGGAAACTATTGAGGGTAATCAGGTTTGGGGCCCTGGACTAGACTCGTCTATAGTCAACCTAAAATAATGTACCAAAAATTCCAGGAGGACTTCAAGGCAGTGAGTTAATATTTGCAATTTTTTCCTTTACTCCAACTCACTTAGCTGAAGGACATCATGACAGCGCTCTAACTCACATGCTTTATACAGCCATTGCCTTCTTAGGTGTGGCAGATCACAAGGTATGTTCTTTTCTTTGTTGCTAATGTGATCAAAGATTCTGAAAATTTACAGCAACTATAACTTTAAAAGTGTTTAAAATAAGTTACCAATAATTTACAATACTGCCTGCCATTTAAGTAGTTCAGGAATTTGGGATATGGAAAAACTAGTTCATCTCTTCAAATATTATGTATTTAAGGATTGAATGTTGGACTGTGTATATTTCTAATGAGAATTATCTAATTTTGCTCATAGGGCGGAGTATTATTGCTAGTACTGGCTTTGTGTTGTAAAGTTGGCTTTCATACAGCTTCCAGAAAGCTCTCTCTAGATGTTGGTGGAGCCAAACGTCTTCAAGCTTTATCCCATCTTGTTTCTGTGCTTCTCTTGTGTCCATGGGTCATTGTTCTTTCTGTGACAACTGAGGTAAGATCAGGAATTTATTGGTAATAAATAAAATTAATTGCTATTACTTATAAATTTTAGTTTGGTACATTGTATTTTATTTCAATTTGAGGTTGCAAGCGGCTTAAATTATCTTTGTTTTTTCTTTGTAGTTTTTGAAAATTTTTTAATTTTATTGTTTATAGAGAAATCAAATCAAGTACCATTATATTTATATACCTTCCCATGCCTATGGCTCAAAGGAATCCGTTGAAACAATTTAATACCCACCATGAGTTAGGCACAAGGATTATGGGTCACCTATTATTTTAAAAAGTATTAACCCAACTGCTTTTGTTTTTAATACTTTGGGGAATATTGGGGAAATGTGCCAGTATCTTATAGGCCTTTATTTGGGCATTTTACAAATCATACTGAATCACAAGAACATTTGTTATACACAAAGGGATTAACTTAAACATCTTAAAAGATACGAGCTTATACCGTTATAATATTGACCTCCCCCCCAAATTTTTTTTATTTCTAGAGTAAAGTCGAGTCTTGGTTTTCTCTCGTTATGCCTTTCACAACGGTTATCTTTTTAATCATGATCCTGGATTTCTATGTTGATGCCATTTGTTCAGTCAAAATAGAAGTTAACAAATGTGCCCGCTATGGATCCTTCACCATTTTCGTTAGTGCTCTACTTTTTGGAAATTTTTGGACGCATCCAATAACAGACCAGCTCCGGGCTATGAACAGAGCAGCACACCAGGAGAGCACTGAACACGTCCTGTCTGGAGGAGTGGTAGTGAGCGCTATATTCTTTATTTTGTGTAAGCGTTTTTCTCCTTAGAAAATTTCTTCTTTTGGATTCTGATGATTACATTATTTACTCAATTTGGAAATTTATTCAGTGCTTGCATTTAGTGCTGACAAATACTGTGTTAGGTTTTGGTAGCTTAAACTTTTATAATATTCTTTTTCTCTCTCTCTTTTTAGCTGCTAACATCTTATCATCTCCCTCTAAAAGAGGACAGAAAGGTACCCTAATTGGATATTCTCCTGAAGGAACACCTCTTTATAACTTCATGGGTGATGCTTTTCAGCATAGCTCCCAATCCATTCCTAGGTTTATTAAGGAATCACTAAAACAAATTCTCGAGGAGAATGACTCTAGGCAGATCTTTTACTTCTTGTGTTTGAATCTGGTAAGGTTTTAAAATATAAGTGGTATATCTTAAAAGCTTAATCTTTTAATCCTGACATTCTGGTATAATTTTAGTAATTCCCAAATTTCTGGTAATTACAAATGGGTTAAAATTACATTTTCTCAAGCATTATCTCAGTTCGTTGAGGTTCTGTTTCCTGGCATATGTCGACAGTTTGGCTCAAATAAACTCACAAAAATTGGAAAAAAAAATTACATTTTCTCTAAGTAGTAGGAAGATTACAGGGTTATATTCAGACTACTTAGGCAAACAGTTTTTGAGGCATTTTAGAAACGGTTTAGTGTAGTGTTTCAAATCAATAAATATAGTAGCTTTTAAAGATGTTATCTATTCCTTATAGGATCTTACTACAGACCAGATGCTAACATGTTAAAGCTTAGTTTATTGCATTCAACAGACCTATAAATAAAACTATAAAACCATCTCCTTTTAAATAATTTATGAGATGGACATATCTGATTAGCGTAGTTTTTTTACAATTTATATGACATGCAGTTTTAGTAGAAATACCAGTTAAATAACTAGAGGCAGTTATATCTTCAAGTAAAGATTAGGTATAATTAAGGTTATAATGTGGGTTAATTGGGGTAAAATCCTCTTGACTAAATTCTGGTGAGTTTCTCTTGAAACAGTATTTCCCAACACACTCCCCTATTCTTTTTTTTATTTTTATATTTTAGCTTTTTACCTTTGTGGAATTATTTTATGGCGTGTTGACCAATAGTCTGGGTCTGATCTCAGATGGATTTCACATGCTCTTTGACTGCTCTGCTTTGGTCATGGGACTTTTTGCTGCCCTAATGAGTAGATGGAAAGCAACTCGGATTTTCTCCTATGGGTAGGTACACTATCAAGGTAATGTAGTACAATGAAAGAGTCTTAAGTGCAAATTCCATCTTAGGGACATGAAATTTTATTATTCTTAATAAAAATAATTTTTCAGAGTTTTCTTTTTCATTTGAATTATGTAAGAGGAAATGAACCAAACATTTAATAAATACTAATTGGCAGTAAGCTTAAGATTGTACTCCCTGGCAAATCCCTCTTAGAGGCAGAGAGCAAATAGTTAAACATTGAGCTCTTTGCTCAACATGTTTCTTTGAGGCAATGGAATGTACATGATCATTCACATCTTTGCTGTTAAGAGTATTAAAAATGAAGGGGCTGTACATTAAATATCCTTTCGTTAAATGAATAATTCAGTTCAACAAATATTAGAATCCCCTGTTGGTACAAGGTATTTTGATAAGACCTTCTCTAAATAGATTAATAAATTCAGTTCTTATTTTCAACTGTTTATATTTTGAAAGATAAATGAGCCAAAAATACGAATGATTTTGGTATAAAGCAGAATCTATGTGCTGTGACAGAGATACAGAGCACATTAAGGGCTTAAAGGAAAAATAACTTCTTCCTAAGAAATTAGGAAAGGCTTTGTGTAAAAGAGGGAACATTTATATATTGATAAATATATAAAATTTCAACAGATATATGTTCAGAAAGCACCTTGGAACATACTAGTATGATGATTAAAATCTTGGTAACTTTCTAATATTACTATTTATGTAGTTGAAAATTTGGATTGTTTTCTCATTTGGAAAGTAATAATGTTATACTTTTAAACTATTTGTCACTTCTTTTTCTAAAAATATATTCTACATTTTTAGGTATGGCCGAATAGAAATTCTCTCTGGCTTTATTAATGGACTTTTTCTAATGGTAATAGCTTTCTTTGTGTTTATGGAGTCAGTGGCTAGATTAATTGATCCTCCGGAACTAGACACACACATGTTAACAGTAAGTCTTTGTTTTTCTATTTTAATTACTGCTCATACTCACGTAGTTTTTTCATGCTAAAGTATAACTATTTGTAATTATTGATCTTAGAAGGTTTTCATTTTTTATTTAAATCAACGTAACTTCCTGTTATTTACACTGCTGACTCTTACAAAAAATTTTTCCCCTCAGGCTGTGCTAGAGTTCTAGGAGCCTGGCAGATTCTTAGCAAATTCACCAATCCCTGATAAATACCCTGCCACCCTTCCCTCCACTGCCCTAGGGAAGATCCATACCTTTGGCCCTGCCCTCTGGGCTGCTGAAATACTCTTCTGGGCCCCATCTTTTTTGGAATGAGCCTTCCCCCCATCCCTTCTCCTCCTCCTTCCACCCACCAGTGCTCAGACATCTCACTGGTGTTCAGAGGAACGTTTTTTAATTTCCTTTTCTCTTTTTAAATTTTTTTTTCTCTTAGAATTAATCCTTTTCTCTAATATTTTAGTAGGCAAAATATTAGATGACATTCTAAAACATAGAGATCTCTTTCTGACTTATTAAATGTTTTTGTTTGGCCCTGGCTGGTGTTCTCAGTGGTTAGAGTGTCAGGTCCAGAACCCAAGGATCATGGGTTCGATTCCAGTCAAGGGTACGTACCTGGGTTGCAGGTTCCCTGCCCAAGGTGGGACATGTGTAGGAGGCGGCCAGTTGATGTAGCTCTCTCACATGATGTTTCTCTCTCTCTTTTCTCTCCCCCCCACCCCACTCCTTTCTACTCTCTCTAAAATCAATGGAAAAAATATCCTCCAGTGAGGATTAACCAAAATAAATAAATTAAATTAAATGCCTTCCAATATTAAAAGCTGATTCAACTTCCTTAAAGAAATAAAAAATAAATGTTTTTGTTTGAAAGTGTGTTTTTAAGTACCTAAAAAAATTCGTTAGAATCAGAAAAAAAATTTTTTTTTCCAATATGTTTGTATTAATTTCAGAGAGGCAGGCAGAGGGAGAGAAAGAAACATCAATGATGAGAGAGAATCATTGATTGGCTGCTTCCTGCATGCCCACCACTGAGGATCAAGCCCGCAATCCGGGCATGTGCCCTGACCAGGAATTGAACTGTGACCTCCTGGTTCATAGGTCAGTGCTCAACTATTGAGCCACACTGGTTGGACAGAAAAATATTAATTTTACTCCACAGATTATAGGAACACTATAGCAACTTTTAATGTTCTACCTATACCTAAAGACTACCTTTATATGTGCTCTTTCTTGTAGTTGGCCTGCCCTTCCCTTACTTCTGACATTCAGACTTCCTTAAGACTTTGCTTATATGTCTCCTCCGGTGGCATACTTTCCCCTAACCCCTCTCTTTTCTCTGGAAAGTTTGTTAGATATCCCTTTCTCAATATTCCCATAGCAGTGTTGAGTTATAACTATTGTTTAATTTGTCATTATTCCACAATGAAGATATAAGTGAAGTGTTTTCAGGACCTGAATTGTATATCATTAACTCTTAAATTGTAGCACCTGGCTTGTAGGAACTCAGCAATTAATTGATGAATGACTAAAAACAGTTATGAGTCTTGTTGGTAGAAGCATATATTAGTAAAATGTTTTTGGATTACAGTTTGGAAATATATTTTGAATTTTAAGTGCTCATATCCTTTGAGCTTTAATATTTAATACAGAAATATTCACACAAGTGTATAGAGATGCATGATTCATTATATCATTATTTATAACTAGAGGCCTGATGCACGAAATTCATGCATCAGGGCCTTGGCCTCGGCCCCCACCCGCCGCAGCCATGGCCGGGGGCCTCTGCTGCCACTGCCTCAGCCCCCGCCTGCTGTGGCTTTGTCCAGAAGGAAGGACGTCCGGGAGGACATCTGGTCTAATTAGCATATTACGCTTTTATCATTTATACTAATAAAAGGGTAATATGCAAATTAACCATCACTCCACGACAAAGATGGCAGCACCCATAGCCACAAAGATGGCAGCGCTGGCTGGAGCCACAGAGCCGGCCGGAGCAGGCAGGACACTTGGATTCCTTCATCGCCCCAGCAACAAAGGAAGCCAAGCCTCCTGCCAGCCCTGGCCGGCCGCCGAGGGCCGGCCTCTGGGTGGCAACCATGGAACTGGCCAGAGCAGGCAGGAGGCAGCTCCGGCCCAGAGCAAAGGCCCGGGTCCCAGGTGCCGGAGGGAAGCCAGGGGAAGGAAGGCCTATTCTTGAACGAATTTTTGTGCCTCGGGCCTCTAGTTATTTATAATGGTTGGGGGGAGGGGGGGGGGGGACAATGGCCACTAATGAAAGGACTAGTTAAATGAATTGCCACTCATAGAATACTATGCAGCTATTAAAAAAAATGAGTTATACCTATAAATACATACTATTGAAATTTACCTAGTAATGTAAACAAGATTTCAGGTATAGTGTATACTTACTCTAAGAAGTAGTATTTTCAAACTGTTTATTTAAATAAAAGAAAACTTCAGTATCATTTATTTATTCATAAGTCATGAACCAAGTACATATTCTTAATCACTTAAAATTTGGATTTATTTAATGTAATGAGGTTTTGCTATGAATACCTTCAAAACTATAAACAGAAAACAGATAGCTGTATACTAACTCTTAAGCAACAAGCTTATTTCTTAAATTACAAATTTAAAGGTTTTCTTTTCTCCCTCTTGCTAGCCAGTCTCAGTTGGAGGACTGATAGTAAACCTTATTGGTATCTGTGCCTTTAGCCATGCCCATAACCATACCCATGGAGCTTCTCAAGGAAGCTGTCACTCATCTGATCACAGCCATTCACACCATATGCACAGCCACAGTGACCATGGGCACGGTCACAGCCATGGATCTGCAGGCGGAGGCATGAATGCTAACATGAGGGGTGAGTCCTTGCCAAATATTGACCTACTTTTCAACCATGTTGTGATTTGACACTGTTCATTTGTATTAAATATTGGGCTCTGGTACAATTTTATTTTGGAAAAACAATCTGTGGCTAAAAAAAGGTTGAAGTAAATAAATATTAATTACTGTATAATTATAGAGTTCTTTTCATAGTGACAATTGCATAAATATTATTTCCAGGGGAAATACTGAGTATGCCATTATGAACTCTCACTACAAAAAAAACACAACAGATTCTTTTTTACTATAAAAAAAAATGAGAGAAGTATTTATCACTGTATTGAATTATTCTAAATGTTTAATATAAATTATTTGGGTAATGTTAAGATTTGGCTCAGACACGATTTCTAGGAAGCCTTCCCAAGGTAAACCACACCATCATAAAACTCGCCACATTGTGCAACAGTAGCCCACATCATACCTTCTTACTCCTGGGTTGTGAATTCCTTGAGGGTAGTGACCATGTTTTAGTCATTTTGAGTGACAGATGCATAGTAGGTATCCAGTAATACTTACAGATATTTTATGGATAAAAGAACTAAATTAGATGTGATTTAATTTTTAATGTTTTTATATATTTTACTTACAGGTGTATTTCTACATGTTTTGGCAGACACACTTGGCAGTGTGGGTGTGATTGTATCCACAATTCTTATAGAGCAGTTTGGATGGTTCATTGCTGATCCCCTCTGCTCTCTTTTTATTGCTGTATTAATATTTCTCAGTGTTGTTCCACTGATTAAAGATGCTTGTCAGGTTCTACTTCTGAGACTGCCGCCAGAATATGAAAAAGAATTACATCTTGCTTTAGAAAAGGTAGTGTAATTTCTTCACTATTTTCTTCCTTTTAAAGTAGCATTTGAAATTAAGTTGACCTAACACGAAATGTCCAATATATGAATGAACAAAATACAGTTTTATTTAAAGGACATAAAATAGGAACTGAATAAATGGAGATACTTTCTTGGATAGGAAACTGAAGATGCTGATTTTCTTTAATTTAAATCCCAATGTAGATGCCTCTCGTTTGGATTTGTTTGTTTTTGTTTTGGGAGAGCATAGATAATCCAATATTATTTGGAAGCTTACTGGAAAGAGTTAATGCTTGAGAATAAACAAAAATACATAAATAATTAGTTTAATAGTGGTTCCTGGACCAAAAAGATTGCTTTGTGTTAAGTAAATTATAACCTTTAAGTCCATTTATATTACTTCAGCTTTTATTTGACAGATACAAAAAATTGAAGGATTAATATCATACCGAGACCCTCATTTTTGGCGTCATTCTGCCAGTATTGTGGCAGGAACAATTCATATACAGGTGACATCTGATGTGCTGGAACAAAGAATAGTACAGCAGGTAATAATCTTTTGTTTTTAAAGTAATTTCAGTTGAGGTAATTCTTGCATTATAACTTATACAGTTTGATAGTAATTTAACTGTTTGAAAATATCAGTCTTTCATCTGAGGATAACATTTTGTACACCTAGGTTTTCTTTATATCCAAAACTGGTTAAAATAAAATCAAGTTTTAGGATTTAAAGGATCAGCTTAAGTTAATGTAAAATAAAATTAATTTATGATCAACCTTAATTCCCAATAGATGATCAAGAAATGTTATTATAAATGTAGCCCTAAATTAATTATAATAATATTAACATTGGCAGGGTATATGCTATGATTGAAGATAGGGATCAAAACAGTTCTTGTATCCCTATTCTGGACATCCTTAATTGGAAGCGATAGCTGTTTTCTTTTACTACTTTTAAAGTGAGATCAGAATTTACTCGTTGTCTAAAATCCTTATTTTGTGCTCCCTTCGGCAGCACATACATATACAGAGAAGATTAGCATGGCCCCTATACAAGAATGACATGCATATTTGTCAAGTGTTCCATATTTTAAACAAAAACTAATAAAATCCTATCTAACATTTGCCCAAATAAATAACAACCATTATTTTGAGGATGTATCTTTGACTATCTGTAGCTATAAAAAAATGAAATATCAATTATTTAAGACATATGCATTATATGCATTAACCTAAAAGCTTTAAAATGTATGGATTTTTTTATAACAGGTTACAGGAATACTTAAAGATGCTGGAGTAAATAATTTAACAATTCAAGTGGAAAAAGAGGCATACTTTCAACATATGTCTGGTCTAAGTACCGGATTTCATGATGTCCTGGCTATGACAAAACAAATGGAGTCCATGAAATACTACAAAGATGGCACTTACATCATGTGAGATAACCGGGAATTACCTCTGGAGTGTAAACAATGAAGATTAAATGACTAAGTATTTAGAATATTGCCAGAAGGAAGAAAATTGCACACAATTGTACAGAAACAGTTTGCCATATTTGAAAAACAAAATTAAAGTTCCCTACTATTGGATCAAGGAATCTTAAAGGAAATTTAAATACAGAATGGAGCATTCATTGTTCAAGTAAAATCATTATTTGAATTATGTGTATAACAAGAATCTTGAAATTTGAGTGAACATGATATATCACATCATCTTTAAAGATGAACATATAATGACAGAATCAAGTGAAGACCAAAATTACTTCTGTGTTTACTTTGTGCCAGAAAGCATCTCCATTGTAAATAATGTATGTACATGTTTATTACAAAGACCCAAATGAAAAATTTTAGTCGATTTTTTTGCATAGCCCTAGGATAAAAAAAGAATAAAAGTTCTATATTTATGGATTTTCTGTACATAAAACTAGTTTCTAATTAAAACTTAAATCCGTTAAGTAAAATCTGTATTGCCACTTTTAATGTAAAGTAAATTATTTGGGAGAAACTTCAACCACTGATAATGAGACAAGCAGTGAGAATAGGGAAGTATAACTACAGTTTTTGATGTATTACAAAAACCAACCACTCTGTAAAATAAATTTTTTTTTTACTTTTGGTAATATTTGCAAATGAATATTACTTTATTAAGGTGAAGAACTTATACTAAGTTGTGTCCATGTTGTTCACTCACTTGTCTTCTGCCTCTAAAGTAGAATACTACATTTCTTATTATGCATCTGGCATTCCTAGTTGTTTATCAAGCTGGTATCCAAGCACTGCTAGGCTTTTCATCTTTTCATTTAGCTCTGTATGTTGTGGAATAGCCATTTGAGAGAGTCATAAACGATTGTCAACTCAGTTTAATTTTCTGCCCATAAATGTCATTTTTTGGGTACATGTAGATATATAAGAAATATCAAAGTATAGGTAGTCATTTAAAGTTTAATAATATGGTCTATAAACACTAGGGTACCATGAAATCAAAATATCCTATAACTATTTTCTATAAATATATCTAACTTATATTTTTAATTTTCAATTTAAAAGGAATGTACAGTCTGAAAAGACTGTAAAATAGATATATAATAATATGTGCAGTTTTATAAACACCAAAGAATATTGTCCAAAAGAAACTTTTGAATACCTGTCTATTTATAAGAATCTGAATATTTTCATTCTTATACTAGAAATTTTGATAAGTAGGATGAATTAATTTTAGTATGGGTACTATTTTCTTATCTAACATAATGGCAAATGTGTACTGTAAATCATATTTTTGTCTTACTAATTTTAATATGTGAGAGGTTTAGAAATTTGTTATAACTTATTTGGATAATCCTTGTCTTTACATATTATCTGGTCCAGAATCTTCAAAATTAAAAATTTATGAATGGTGGGGAAATAAATGCATATTGGCGTTTCAATGCAACTTTTGTACAATAAAAATTTTTAAGTAGATAGGTACAATGAATATTGCACCATTACTAAACTTATCATTTTCCTTAGAAGACATATAAACAACAGGAAAATAAAATTAATGTGACTGAGAGAGAAGGCAGGGGCTGAAGATTAAGGGGAGTGCAAGTAGAAAGCAGGAAAACTCCACATTGAAGAGCAGCTGGGTACTGGTTCCAGCTCATACAAACCGTGTGACTTTATTTTTTTTTTAAATATATTTTATTGAGTTTTCACAGAGAGGAAAGGAGAGAGATAGAGAGTTAGAAACATCGATGAGAGAGAAACATCGATCAGCTGCCTTCCGCACACTCCCCACTGGGGATGTGCCCGCAACCAAGGTACATGCCCTTGACCGGAATCGAACCTGGGACCCTTCAGTCCGCAGGCCGACGCTCTACCCACTGAGCCAAACCGGTTTTGGCAAACTGTGTGACTTTTAGACAAATCAGCCTCTCTGAGTATCTTTCTTTTTCTCTCTCATACATAAAATCAAAATCAAATTTCAAATTCACAGGAGTATGAGGAGCGAAAGGAATAATGTGAAAATAAATTGAAAGTTGAAAAGGGCTAAGTAAAGTTAAAGGATTTTTAATATTTTAAACCTCACTTCAGAGGTAGCTTTTATTTGTCATTTTTTCATATTGAAATCAGCATCTGAGAGATTAATTAATATTATATTAAGTGAACAAACAAGCTTAAAATAATGCCCCAAACAAGTCTATTTATAGTTCATTTGCCCCAAGAAGTTTGGGGTGGTTGCTTAACAAAACTATTAATTTCTCTTTTATCACTCCCTATTTCTCTCCTTTCCCTTTCTTTCCAACTATTGTTTTCCCTTCTTACCAATTTAGGCACTGGTGATTTCCACTCAGAATAAATGTTACATCTGTTAAGACACAGATTTATTGTTTCTATTACATGATAATTGATCAAACTTTAAACTTTTCTCATTACAGTAGAAGAATGAGGCTATACTAGTATATAGTTAAATATCTCTAAAGAATCCTGGCTTTACTTTAAATTTAGATTATGATTCTCCCCTAAAATACCCACTATATTAATTCAGAGATGGTCAGGCCAGCGTGGCTCAGTGGTTGAGCATCGACCTATGAACTAGGAGGTCACGGTTTGATTCCCAGTCAGGGCACAGCTCGATCCCCAATCGTGCAGGAGGCATCCAAATAATGATTCTCATCGATGTTTTTATCTCTCCCTCTCCCTTCCTCTCTGAAATCAATAAAGATACATTTTTTAAAAATGTACTCATGATAGGTAAAAACTGGAAACAATCCAATGTCCATCAGGAGGTGTAGTGTATTCATAATGGATACTCAACCGTTGTTTTTTTAATTACTGTTACAAACAGTATAGGTGATTCTCAAAAACATGTTAAGTGAAAGAAGCCAACAGCATGGAAGGGACCTGGGGAGCATCATTTTAAGTGAAAATAAGTCAGAGAAAGACAAGTATCACATGCTCTCACTCATATGTGGAATCTAATTAACAAAGTAAACTGATGAACGAAGTGGATCCAGAGACATGGAAGCATGAGACAGAGTGCAGAATCTCAGAGGGAAGACGGGAGAGGGTAGGTGGGTGGGAGGTAATCAGCTAAAGACCTTGTTTGCATATATGCATAACCCATGGACGCAGGCAGTGGGGTGGTGAGGGCCTGGGGCAGGGGTTGGGGTGGGCTGGATGAGGTCGATGGGGGAGAAGGGGGGACATACGTAATACTTTCATCAAGATTTTTAAAAATAAT